CAGAAGCCTCTGGAATAATCCTGCCATTGCTACATAACAGGAGTCAAGCCAAAGGCTCATCCCAAGAGGAGAATGGATGATTGTAGTGAGAACGTGGAAACCACGACTTAACACACCACCGATGATGACTTCTACAAACTATCCACTGGAACAAACCAGGGGCAAGGGAAGCCACTGGCTATGGCTCCATTTCTAAAGTTCAAAAATAGACAAAATCAATCTAAAGTCTTAGAGATGGTTTCCCTAGGGGAAAGTGATCCCCGGAATGAGCAAGGAAGGGTCTGGGGTTCCAGGAAGCCCTTATTTTCATTTTTCATCCAGGTACTGGGTGTAAGGGTGTGTTCGCTTTGTGAGAACTCATTCAGCTGTATGCTTAGGACTTGTACATTTTTCTATTGCTTGTTACACTTCTATCAAACCTGCTTTCAAAAATCTGTCATAGCATTTTTGCAAACTCCTTTTATAAAAACTAATAGCTGCAAAATGTTCCATCTGGATCATGTACCACAATTTCCCTAACTCCTCTCCTGTTGTTAGATATGTTTTTCTCCTGTTTTTCTGTTTGCGCTTTTCAATGTTTTAAGCCTACTTCCTGATGTGATTGGAAATGTGGATAAAGGTTTATTTCCTTAGGATTCAATGAGCAAAATCGAAGAGTTTTGAACCCCTTGATGCTTTTCCAAAGGGCACCTAACAGCCTGCCTTGCTTGTCATTCTTGCTGTGGGTTTGTTCATTTGTTTGTGTGAAATAAGTTCACCCCCCCCCCCGCCAGGGTTCTGAGCAACTCAATCTTTTAAGAGTAGTGGATGAGTGTGAACATTTGATCATCCCCCCACCAACTGCAGGCTCTCACGAAGAAAAAGAATAACTTTTTGAAGAAAAGCATTCTAAGTGAGAATCCATGCTTCCCACTTTGAATTCTGCTTCCATAAAGATGGCTTTTTCCGCATCAGGCAAGCAGGAGCTTATGCTTCAGCACCCAATTTCCCAGCTCCAGGAAAAGCCAAACCCAGCCTGCTAAGCACTGAGGGTGCTGAGCAGAGAATCCTGTGCAGAACACAGGCAATTTCATGCCCGAAATGGATATTTTGCTCTGCTTCCTGAGCTGAAGTCAAGGGTTGAGCAGGAGGCCTGACAGGCCTTTAGCTGTAATAGCACAAATGTGCTGCTACAAGACCTGAAAACTGTTTTGAAAGATTTGCTTAGTTTTTCAAAAAGAATTGTCAGTTCCCAGCTAGCATGGGGCAGTTGATGCGGTGGGAAGGACGCAGTAGGGTAGACAAGTGCATGGACCACAGATATTCTTAGCAAGAATGCTGGCGGATTCCGGAGCTCATGGCTGTCCTTACATCAATACGGAGACACCTATGAGTCACAAGCAAGCTGACGAGTGCAGGCCTCACACCAGAATAGAAGGAAATGATTGAAGACATCTCCTGACACATCCTGTTCACCAGGGAGGAGCTTCAGGACATAATGATTGATGCAGAAGGGCAGAGACCATTGTGCTAATCATTCTGTGTGTATGTGTGTGTGTGTGTGCGCGGGCGCACTCGTGTGCATGCTTGTATGACATTGAGGATTGAACCCAGGGCCTTCACACCGAGCTACATCCCCAGTCCTTTTTATTTTGAGACAGGGTCTTGATAAACTGCCCAGGCTGATCCTCCTGCCTCCGCTTCCCAGAGTGCAAGGGATTATAGACATAACCGACCATGCCCAGCTTCCAATCATTCTTAAGCGGGGGGGGGGGGGATAGAGCATCCTTGGTTTTCATTGTTGATTTTATTGAGCAGGTGGATTCTTTTCTAAGCATCTTTTGGCTTTGCAAGAGGTGACAAAAGGGATGCTTCTGTGAATTTCACTCCAACCTGAAGGACCTCACTGTATAAACACGAATGTCTGGCTGTGAGACTCAGCCACTGCCACAGACTCCTTCCTGTGACACCTGGCAGAGGAGTCAGTGAATTATGTTTAAATTTGAAAACAAGAATCAGGTTTTTTTCCTGTGGGTAAGATAGTAAAGCCAGTCCAAAGGGCTGGTTGCGAAGACAAACTAAACTGGCCACCACTCCGTTGGCAGCTGAGTTAGAAGGGTTTCTGAAAAGGCAGCCCAATGTGAGAGGGCAGGGTGGGGGGTCCAGGTTGAGAAGGCAGGGCAGGGTCCCTCTCCCGGGTGATCTTTACAGTCTGGTGAAGGCTGCACCCCTACCCACCTCGGGTGAGCAGATTTGACACCTATCAAAATCTATCAATCTTATTTGCCATTGATCAAATTTTACATCATTGAAATTAAAAGCAATTTTGAAATTGTTCAAGCTTGTCCTTGTAAGTATAATAGAAATGCCTTCTTGGCCATTATAATTAAAGATGGCAGGAAATACGCTACAGGACCATGAAAAGGCAATGAAAACCAGAAAAAAACAAACAGCAAAACAATGTAAAGCTTTACCTGATAGGACCTCCATGGCTACCGAAAAGAACAAGCTGGTTCCTACAGCCTCACAGGAGAGAGGGTGTGTGGTAAGCTGCAGTGTGAAAAGGCAAATGCACACACACACACACACACACACACTCATTAAAAATCTCTCCTGCAAAGAAAGGCAGAAGAGATCTTTTATTTTGCACATTTCTGTGTTGCCTTAATATTTTCTTTTAAATCAAGAAAGTAAATGAAGGAAAGAAACAAAGAGAAAGAGAGGGAGGAAGGAAGGAAGGAAGGAAGGAAGGAAGGAAGGAAATATAGTAAGTTTTTTTTGTATTTCTGATAAAGACTGTTGGTTTTGTTTGTTCATTTTCTAAAGGGAAAGCAGTTGTTTGGTGGACAGTTTTAAATGGAACTGTTTTCTGTTAAGCTCTCACTGCAGAGTCCGTGCCTCTGTGCTGGGCTCTGCCTGCCCCCGACGTGAGCCTCCATTACCGTTCTGGTGAAAATGGCATCTTCTCCTTCACTTTCACCCTGGGTCCTCAGCTGTGCCTTTGAGGCAGGCACAGTTATGCCCAGGGAGTCCTGGCCTGGAACCTATTGCAGGAAGCTGTAGAATCAACCCTTCCATTAATACATTCAACCTTGAACCCCAGGCTAATGATGGCCCAAAGCTATTCCACCCACTTGCATCTTGAAAATGGAGATCATCGAATCTTAATCCTTAATTTTGGGGATAATATTGGTAGCTATTCATTTTGTTTTAAGAGGGCAAGCAAAGACATCATGTCCTCAAGTTTCAGACTGCTCACAGCTATTTGGCTTTGGGAAAGTTGTTAATTTCTGTACTACAGTTTTCTCAATGTTAACCACATGTGGATTATGCTTACTCTTCAGGGTTGCCATGAAATTAAATGCACTAATGCCAGTAGAGCAGTAGAGGAGGCTCCTAGTGTACAGAAACAAAGCCCAATAATTGCTGGGGATAATTGTTAATATTAAACAGATTTTATCACTTTGGCATTCAGGAACTTTAGTTTCCTCATCTACAAGATGGGGACAGTAATGCCAAGTTCTTAGGGTTTGTGTGTGTGTGTGTGTGTGTGTGTGTGTGTGTGTGTGTGTGTGATTCTATAAGATAATGCACAGAAAATGCCCAAAGGGTAGCAGCTTAAAAACTCAACTCTGTTTCTGTGTTTGGCTTCTGTGCATCAGAGCCCCTCCCCAGTGGAGCAGCCATGTTGGTGCTCCTGGGAGCTCATCAGTGGCACCCCTGAGTGGAGGACAGTCACCTCGGCTAAGGTGGCCCAGAGGATTCTTGATGAGTCAGGCAAATAGTAGCAAAGGACAAGCCCCAGTGTCCTGCAAGCCAAGTCCCTTGTTCCTTGGAGCTCGAGGAGTAAAGGGAAAGAGGGCACTCAGAGCATCCTGCAAGCCCCGGGGAAACGGAGAGTGGACTATGGGGAGAAGTAAGTCAAGCTTCACAGCCCAGCTGAACACCCGAGGTGGAAGGCATGGAGGGCAGGGATGTTCATGGGAGGACAAGGAGCCCAAGTTTCCCCCAGCAATGGCCTCCATGGGCAAGAGCATACTAGAGAAAACCCAAAGCCTCTTGGTCATACTGGCTGGACATCAGTGCTCTTGGCCAGGATGTCTCTATGGGGAGAAGGGTTAGAGAATTCAGCAGTGCATGGCAAAGGGCAAAAATTCATCAAATTCCCAAGTGAAAGGGAAGTCTGGGGTCACTGCACTCTCTTTGAAACATGCTAGTATTGACTGAAGTGAGTGATGACTGCTGGGTATTTTGATATTTCTAGAATTCTCCATTTTGTTGTTCTCTAATGTTTAACTTCCCACCCCCAGCCTCACACTAGAATTTCTTTGATCTAGCATATGAAATCAAGTGTGTGTGGGGTGGGGCAGCAGCACTTTTACCCATGTGCAACTGTGATTTTCTCTGCCCAGAGAGGCAATGTAGGATAATAGTAAGAGTGTGGGGCTGAAGGCACACTTACCACGATTGAATCCTGGCTCTCTTGCTTATAGCTGCATGACCCTGGACAGGCTTCCTACCCTGTCTGTGTTTTCACTTTCTCATCTGTAAAATGAAGCTGATATTAGTATTTCTTTCATGAGGTGCTCCGGATCAGCTAGGCTAATGTCTAGCATTTACTCAGCATAGTAAATGGCATACTGTAAATCCTCAATATGTGTGAGTTCTTATTTTATCATGATGGTTGTGTCATGATTATAAGGCCCTCACAATCCTCTGTGAGCAAAGGAAAAGGTGTCTTTCAAACAACAGCAGCTCTGCAGTTAACTTACTCATTCCTGCTGTCCAGAGTGGGTCTTAATGAGCTGTCATTATGTTTCAGAGTCCCTGTGTGTACAATGGAGATAATAGCACTTCGAAGGAGCTTCAAGGGGAGTAAATGAAGTCATTCATGTCTGTGGGATGCCTGGCCCGGCCTAAGCACCCAGAAAACGCCAGCCCCATTATCCCTCCTTCCAAAATACTCAACATTTTACTTCTAAGCAAGGACATCCAATTTAGACGTGTTTTATTTTCGTTTGTTTTCATTTACTTTTTCAACTAGTGAATTCAAAAAACCTGATTACTTCAATACTGGAAAACTATGTTGGGTGATCAAGGTAAATCAGGAAGGAAGCACTTTGAGGCCTTCATTAGCTGTGTGTATCACATGCAATTGCAGCTTTTGTCATCTTAAAAAATCTTATTTGCCTCATTTTGCTTATAAGCTCAAACTTGCCTTTGAGATTGCAACTGAAGAGTAAGAAAAGAAACACATGCCCCTTTGGTATGCTTGTTTTTCATTGCTGAGACTCTCTCATCACCTCAGCTCAGTTTTGCAGAAATTAGGCACTTAATAAAAGTCTGCTGGTTGGTTAGGAAAAATAATCTAGATAACCCATAATATCCCCTTCTATTAGAACAACCTTTTGTCTCCCCATATCTCTGGCCAGCACTATTTTATTTATTGCTGGTGTCCAGAGGAGGACTGGAGAAGAGCAGAAGTGTGTTGTGTGTTTGCCAATGGCTTGAGAGTATTTGTCCCAAACCAAGGGACTTCGTCCTGGCTCTGCTGTGTGACTTTGGCAAGTCATTCTCCCTCTCTGGACTTATTTCTGAGGATGCAAACTGAGAGGTGAGGTTCAACGGACTCAGTATACCTTCTCCCTTATTTTGCTGATGGATAGCTGGTAGCTTGGCATGATGGGGAGTCGTAGCGGTCCCTCATTTTAGGGGAGATCAGTCAGATCTGTGTAGGAAATTCTCTTCCGAAATCCCTAGCTGTGAAATGAGGATGAGCTTCCCAACCTCACCACACCTCCCTCTTCTTCATCTGTAGAAAGGAATAAGCAGCCCATCTTTGAGATGTTGCTGCAGGGTGGAAGGGGAGATTCAACACCGGGGACTCTGCTGGTGCAGATAAAGCGTTGGGTGAGTGACGACCATCATGGGTCCCTGCCTCTTCCTGGCCAGACCCTCTGTGCTGAAGGTGGCAGTCACAGTTCTTTCCTTCAGTCCTCTCCTGGGCTAATTAAGAGCAACCTCTAGGAGGACAATGCTGATGAAGCCAATAACAGGAATACAGTGTTTTGAGAATGTGCAATTAGGTCACTTAGTGGGCATGGTCCTTCTCCGTGCTGCACGGATGCGTCATTTGATACCAGCATGAAGATCAGTTCCTTCCTCTCTCAAAGCCGGCTTTATTGATCCCGTTATCCTAATGGGGGCATGGGAGGAAGGAGAAAGAAGGAAACGTTAGCACAGGAGGAGGTTAGGCCCACTGGATTCTGTCTTCATTCACAGAAGCTGTAGCCCGGGAAAGACGGAAAGTGTCCAGTATGAGCTTGAGCTCTGAGCTTCTTGCTCCCCTCTTTTCCAATCAATTCTTAGCCAGTAGCCATTTGTAATTCTCCATTTGTCTTACTGACCAGGGTCATGTCAGTTGGCAGGGCAAAGATTAGAGAAGTGGCAGATAAGTGGTTGATATCGCCGGTAATAAATGAATATGAGCTTCAAGCCCAGTGCAATTAAAAATGTATAAACTCACATTTTATTTCCCCTTAAAAGTTTACAATCTTCAGAATCCTTCTTGAGCCACCATTCAACTTGCTTTTTAGTCATCTTTGCTGATTAGAAAAAGGAAGGAAACTGAAAACCCAAGGAAACCGACACCAGGTAGCAGGAAGGGAAGCTGGTTCTGGGTACCTGCAGGGCCACTAGAGGAGGAAAAAGAGGTCCCTAGTCACCCTGACCTTCACCATGGCAGTCATCAAGCTGTGAGCCAGCTTCTGTCCACCCAACACAAGCCTAGTCCAGGAAGTGGGCAAACCCTAGCGAACAAACTGAGGTCGACTTCAAACAGGCTTTATGGGTGGCTGAACCAAATGGCCTGCAGCAAGCCCGGAACCTGCATGCTTTCCAGGGCCAGAGAAATCTCATTCCAGCCACTCCTTGGGTCCACTGATCCATAGTTGGCCCCAGTTGAGCTGCGGAGGGTTTGCACTGTGCCACTGATGCCCTGTGTGTCAACCTGGGGCCCTGAGAATCCCAGCAAAGGGAGATGTGCTCTGCTAGAGGCCAGGGCCAAGGTGAGAGAGGTCCTAGCCCTGAGCTTAGCTCTCCTAGGTGCGTTATTTTACCCAACCCTCACAGAGGCACTGGGAGCTGTGTTATCCCACCCCGACCACTTCACCGATGTGGAAAGTGACGGCCTGAAGTTGTTTCCCTGAAGGGAAGACCCTGTTCCTGCCTCTGCTCACAGTGGTCCAGCCCATCTGCCCTGTCAATCACCGGGTGGGAATAGGCTGGGGATGCTGCCAGGTTGGGGTCCCAGCCTGAATTTGACTCTGAAACCCTCTCTCCTGAGAGCGTGGTTTTCAGAGTGGAGGACCAACATGAGCCACAGCTCTGACTGACAAAGGAAATTCCATTTTCCCTTCCTGAGCAATCCTACTGGAAAGAGTGAGGACGGAGTCTCTGCCTGGCAGGGGAAGGGCCCAGCACCAGCACGGCACCGAAGTAGTTACCCACCGTTTTGTTCAACCAGACTATTTACAAGTAGTAACAGGGTATCTGTTTCCTGTCATCTCCATCATATATCTTAAGGCGGAGAGATTGGAAGCCCATTACAGTCTGATATCTAATCAATACACACCGTATTCCTACAGCAGGAAGTAAAAGAATAGGCCCTTGGGAACCAGGGTTCAAATTACTCTACTGTCGATTCCAGATAGCAGCTAATGATAGGCTAAGCTGGGATGGGGGGTGGGGTCGGGTGGGGGAGGGGGAAGAAGCAGCCTTCCTTTAATGGGATAGTTAATTCAAAGATCAGATATGTATTCACTTTTGCCTCATTTAAAAACTCCAGCTCCAGTCTCTTAGCAGGTGGAGAGGCGGGCACATTAGTGCCACAGGCTCCCCCTCCAGCTGCGAAAGCTTTTCTCTGTGCAGAGCCAAAATGTATTTTAGACATACACCTGTGTCACACATCATTTATATATGTTTGAGAAGAGAATTATGTATCTAGATGTATTTCCTATTATACTTAAAGAAGGCTAAAGGAACTCTGCATTTCTTTGTTTTGTTCAAAGTATTTACTGATGCCTTGGTACAGTTACCCTCATGAGGCTTCCTGCAAATCCCACCTCCTTGTTCTTCTGATTTCAGGAAGTTCACATGTTAGGGAGAAAATGCAATTACCAGAACAATGTTTAAGTTGAATTAGTGCTGCCACAGAGAGTGGAGAGCTGTCACTTGGAGAAAAGGGAAGAGTTGGAGCCATCAAACTCACAGCTTATGTCCTGTCTCTCCTGCCTGCTGGCTCTGTGTCCCTCTGAAAGGTAAGCAAACTCCTTGAGCTTCAAAGGCTTCGTTTGTAAAATGGGAATAACAATATTCCCCTCTTGGGTTACTGTCAGCATAAAGGTAAGAAATGTGCATGTTCTGATCTCATCACACAGCCTACAGCCTTTCCTCAAAAACAATGGCTTGTTGGGTTCTCAGGTGGCTGGTGTACATCCTCATTGTGCTAGCTAGCCTGAGATCCTGAAGGCAACCTGGTCCTTGCACATAGCTCTGCTTCTCCTAAACTGAACAGTGCTAGGTGGGCTAGGGTGCTCAAGGTCACAGTGGAGGGCCACTAGGACCTCCCCAACAGGGGGCACTAGAGGTGGGCTGCAGGGAGCAGTTGGAATGGCGGTGGGGATCCATCCCAGGTAGCTGTTAACTGCAGGCCTCAGTTTTAGGCAAACTCCCAGAACCAGCTTCCCTGCAGCCCTGGGAGGTGTGAAAGGTCTGGGAAGAGATTGGGAGGGATGAATGGTTTCCAGTCTGGCTCTGACATGGTCAGCTATGGCCTGTCTCAGACTTCTGGGTCTCAGCTCCTGGGACCCCATCCCTGAGACTCCTCTGTCTCTTTGAGCTTCTGATTTCTCTAAGTTGTTCTCTTTGTGCCCCACCTGGAGGAATGGCAGCTGCCTCCTAAAGTTATTACTGCTGTGACGTCTGTATTTGTCTTTTAAATTTTCCAACACCCATGTGATTAATCCCTTTTATTGAATTATTTAGCTAAAATACCTTGCGTGGTATGTGTTTGTTTTCCAAAGACCTTGGCTGATATCAAGAATGGCGGCCAGACGCAACCACAGCTGGTCCACAGAGATTCATTTCTATCATTCATACCAGATTAACATATAGCTTCCCAGAGGACTCACCAACAGCAACAGCAACAACAAAACAACAGCACACATGCACACACACCAGCAACATGTCTGTCCCAGTCCCTGATGTTACACCCAACGGCTCCCAAACTGAGACCGTAAGAGCCAGACTGGAAATCATTCATCCCTCCCAGTTTTCCCAGCCCTTTCCACAAAACCAAAGTCCTCTTCCACCATTTATAACTTGCTGTGCTTACACTGCAGCCTGGGGTCAGGGGAACTTTCCATTAAAAATTCTGAGTCTTATCTCTCCTGGCCAAAAATGCCTTGCTATATAAATAGCACATTAAAATTCAGAAAGAATATGTTTGACCTCAAAAATATTCCTTCCCACTTAAGAGGTTTTGCATTGTCTTATACAGGAGCCCAAAGGCTGGTTGTATGTCAAAGCCTGGAATTTAGTAGCTGTTAGAAGATGAAACTTCTGGGCCAGGGATTTAGCTCAGTGGCCCCGAACCTGCTTCACAAGCACAAGATCCTGAGTTTGATCCCCAGTATCTATCTTTAGCAGAGACAGGATGTTAGCAGGGGTTTGTGGGTCTACAGCCAATGCAACTCCATCATGACACTTAGAACTTTTTAAGTGACTGGAGTGGAAGAATATGGAAGAGTCAGTGTGTTTCCCTAAGTTCTGTTACTCCCAGGAGTCATACTGGTCACAACCTCCCAACCATGTGGGCAGCTCCATCTGCCTCTCTGTCCTTTCCTGTGCTGGGCATTTCTCCCAGACACCCTGCTCTCTCTTCTGGGCTTACCTATACTCCCTCATCCACCGAGACCCACTCCCTGGAATGCTGCAGGCTTTTGACTTTAAGATTAATCATACACTGTCATATTTCAGTCTGAAATGATTTCTGGTTTCCAAATGTGTTTTCCCTACCTTCTATGAAGAAAAAGGTCCATGCCAGCATTCTCTTCTTCTCTTAAAGAACCGAGCACAGCATTAAATTGGTTGAGTGATTCTTTCATCTAGTTTATGTGAAATGTTCATTTATACATCAGAACTGAAAAAAATACAATTTAAAAAATCATCTCCAGAGAAATAAATACTTTTTATTTAATTCTGGAAGCTCCAAATCCCACTGCTCCCCCTTTTGTTTTGGCTTCCAAAAGCTCATAGATAGTTTTTTGTTCACTTTCCAAAGTTTCTCTGGATCTAGGTTTTCTACTAAAATCACATCTCTTTCTTTCCATGCCCCTCCCATCATTTGTCATACAACCTATGCCCTCCCCACCCATTTCATTTCCTGTATCTTGAACTTCTACCTCCATCTTAGTCAGTTTATTATTTTATCATATCTTTTTTATAAGCCCTAAATATATTTTGGAAATATATAAAGTATGAAAAGAACTTTCAAGTCCAGACTTAGGTACGTAATGAGATGATTTACACGTTCATGTTAGTGTATATAATTGTAATTCTTTTGTAGATAAGAGTAATAACTTTGGAATGACTTCCTCAGTGCATAACTATTCAATAGCCTTAATTAAATTTTAAGTAGTTTATTTTTCCAATATGAAAGTAATTTCTAAATTTCCATTATAAAATTTTAGGAAAAAGAGAAAGAAAAAAATATGCCACATAGTCCTAGCATCTAGAGTCAGCCACAAATAGGAGCTAAAATATCTTTTGTACCATTTTTATACTACTTGAATAATGCCAGTAAAGTGCATATGCAGTATAATCACAAAATATTATGAATGTTTTAATTTTTTTAAATTTATTGAAGTGAAACACACATTGCCACTAATCCTCACTTATTCATTCTTTCTCGACACTTTGAAGAGTTCCACAAGTCATCTTCTGTGTTTTCTGTTGTGCTTCTGTGGCTGCCTCTATGTCCTGAATTGATAAAAAATGTTTACAGTAATTTCTTAAAGGTAGTGTGTCTTCATCTACCTTACTCACTAGATCTATCACTGTGCAACTTCTGGCTCTTCCCCAAAGTCAACATGACAATGAAAAGTAAGCATTTTGAATGGATTCAGAACACAGAGATAGCCACAATAGCACAACTAAAGATGTCCATGGAAGACGTCCAGAACTGCATCACAAAGTAGCAAGAACAATGGGATAAATGTGTTCAAAGTAAAGGGGAGTATTTTGAATAAGATGAACAGCAATGTGTCTTTTAATGTAATAAAATTTTTTAAGAATTTGAATATTAGCCATATTCTATGATCACACCTCACATATTCTGCTGTTCACTATTAAGTCTATACTCCCATATTTTTGGAAAGTGTTAATAATTTATGATTAAAATGAATCATATTAGATGAGAACACTGGAACAAAGGTTAATTCCAGATTTTATTTCTAACTAAGGTGAAATAATAGCATCAGATTTACTCTTACCTTAAACAATTAGAAAAATACTTACATACCTAAATATATGCAAATCTATAAACTTATATTTAATTTACTTTAGATTACATATTGTATATCTCTCCAGTAAGAATTTTAATCTAACATGAAAGTCCTATAAATTTTTTGTGTATACATCCTGTAGTCTGTAGACACTTGGCCATTTACGACAGGCACCACAGGACTGAGTCCCAAGAGAAGGTCAGAAACTGACGGAAAGACTATGACAGTTAAAGCTGACTGCCTGGGATCAGTTACTGCACAGAGGACAGAGATGGACAGGCTCAGCCTACCCAATTCCACCTTGTTGAGTGGAGACAGAGCTCAGGAAAACCAAGGTAATTAGATTTGTGGGACAGAGTAGGACAGCTAGAGGGACCCATGGAGAAAGTGCTCAAGAAATCTGCACAGAAGTGCTCTTGAATCTTTGGCTGACTATTAATTTGTAATGAGAAAGAGAGGAGAGAGAATACCCACAACAGCAACAGCTGGAGGCAGAAAACCTCCCAGACTCACACAGAGCTGAGAACAGTTTGTCTTTCCTCCTAACAGAGGGAAAAGCTCCTGATAAAACAGAGCTTTGTGTGGAACACTCACAGGGGCATTGCTAAATTAACCCTAGAGTAAATTTAGGTCTACATAACAAAGCGTAAAAGTAAACCCCAAAAGGGCCTAAGTAATTCTAAATGATTGGGAGACATAATTCAACAAAATCTAACAATTGGCAATGTATCACAGTGTCTTACACTCGATAAAAATGGCCAAGCATATCAAGCATATGAAGAAACAGGTAAATATGATCTGAAACTAGGAGTAAAAACAATCGATAGAAGCAGACTCAGAAATAACTGCTGTTATCAACACATTATAAGTTATTATCAACACACTTCATATATTCAAGGAGGTATAAGAAAACATGGGTATGATGAATAGAGAAATTGAATATATAAGAAAGCACCAACAAAACCATGAAAAATGCAATATCTGAAATGAAAAATACCTTAAATGGAATTAACAGATTAGATATCAAAGGAGAAAAAAACTTAATGGCCTTGTAGATACAGTGGGCCCTTGACTTATGAACTCAATTTGTTCACGAGGGCTGGTTGTAACTCAAGTTAGTGAATTGAAGGCTCAGGGTCCTCTATACAGTCTTCAAAGTCTTTCTTCTACACAGGCAGATCTCAGTGTCCTTAGAGAGACACTGGCTCAGGATTTCTCAACCCCACATGGGAAAGGACATTGTAATGTATCTGAGACCTCCTGGAAGCACAAGCAGCCAGCATTCAGGTCATAACTCAAGACTTTGGTTGTAAATTAAAGCTAAAATTCCAGTCATAACCCAAATTGTTTGTATGTCAGGCCAATCATAACTCAAGGGTCTGCTGTATAGCAGTAGAAAGTAAACAAAACAAAGTCAAGTAAGGGAAAAAAATCAGGGACTACAACCTCTAATAAAATATAAAGTAGCCTAGTATATAATTAATGAAAACCAAAGAGGGTCCAGGGATTTAGCTCAGTGGTTTCGTCTCCTGCTGCACAAGCACAAGGACCCAAATTCAATCCCCGGAACCAAAAAAAGAAAGAAAAAGAAAAAAAAAGAAAACCAAAGAAAAAGATGGGAAAGGCAAACAAACTTCATTAAAACTTTTTGAATATTCTACAAATTTTATAAAAATTATAAGCCCACAGATACAAGAAGCTGAATATACCTCAAGTAGAATAAATCCAAAGAAAACCATGCCAAAGCATATCACTAGCAAAGTGCTGAAATCTTCATGTGGGAAGAAAATTGTAAAATCCTCCAAAGAAATGTGATATAATATACAGAAGAAGAAAGATAAAAACTGCAGAAAATTCCCTGTGATAAATGATGCAAGTTAAAATGAGAGAGGATTTAAAAATTAGATTTACAAAAACTAATGGGGAGTGCTGGAAGTAGTAAAGTTAAAATGTGTATACAAAGATTTCTTATGCTAAGAACTCTTAGAAAGAATTGGCTAAAGTAAAATAGCAACTTATTGTGGTATCTACTAGATCAATACAAACAAAATACATGAAAAATAGCACAAAGGATGGGAGAGGGAAATAGAAGTATATCATTATAAAGATATCCTACAATACAAGAATGGTATGATATTTAAAGGAAGGCATAGTCTTCTATGACTTTATACAAAAATCATAGTATAATAATTATTTTTAAAAGGAAACAGAGAAGTAGGCAGATTAGCTCTAATAGAGATAAAATAGAATTTTAAAATATTCCATTAGCCATAAAGAAAGCAGGGGAAAGAAGAAAAAAAGTGAAGAAAGAACAGAAAAATGAATATAAAACACATAGCAAGATGATGGAATAAAACTTTACCATATAAAATTACACTAAATGTAAATGACCTAAACACTCTAATCAAAAGTGAATTTGTCAGACTATATACAAGAACAAAACCAGTGGTCAAGGTTCTTCAGATAAAAAAATCCAACAGGATAGATAGATAGATAGATAGATGGACAGACAGATGACTTATTTTAAGAAATTAACTCATGCAATTATGGGAGCTGATAAGCCCAAAATATGTAGGGCAGGTTGCTAGGCTAGAGACATGAGGAAAAAGTGATGTTACAGTCTTGAGTCTAAGCACAGTCTGGAAGTAGAACAACTTCTTCCTCAGAGGAACTTTTAAGGAACTCTTTCAAGGTCTTCAACTGATTGGATGAGGCCCATCTACATTACGGAAGGTTATTTGCTTATTCAAAGTCTATTTAATATTGATCATATCTAAAAATACTTTCACAGAAATATGTAGACTTGTGTTTGACCAAACAATTGGAGCCATAGCCTAGTCAACACATAAAATTATGTCACCCCCAATTATGTTTGTACCAGAAATCCACTCTTAACACAAAAACAGATCATTTAGGTAAAAAGAATGGTAAAAAAGTTGTACTAAGAAAACACTCATCAAAAGAATGCTGGAGCCACTTAAATAAATTTTACAAAATATAGACTTCAGAACAAGGACTAGTACCAGGAATAAAGAAGGATATGTCTTATCATCAAAGGGTCAACTAATCAAGGGGATACAGCAATCTTAAGTGTCCATGAACCTAATGGAGAGCTTCAAATTACACGAGCCAAAATATGATGGAACTAAAATGAGGAACTGACGAATCTACAATTGTATTTGGAGACTTTCAGGCTCCTCTCTCAGTAAATGATAGGATGAATTGACAGAAAATCAGTATGGATGTAGAAGACTCAAAGAACACTGTCAAGTAGCTTACGCTGCTTGACATTTATAGAACAATCCACCCATAAATAGCTTAATGCACATTGTATTTTTGTAGTATATATGGAATATTCACCAGGATAAATTATATTCAAGGCCATAAAACAAGGTTTAATAAATTTGACGCAATTGAAATCATGTAAAATATGTTTGTTGATCACAATGGAATTAAATTAATAATCAATAATGGAAGAATATATGGAAAAATCTCCAGACATTTGAAAGCTAAACCACAATCTATTAAATAATTCATTAGCCAAAAGAAAAAAATAGGATAACTTAGATAATATTTTGAAATGACTGAAAATTAAAACATATATCAGATTCTGTGAGATGCAGCTTACACAGTATTT